TATATTTGTATAATAAAAAAAGATAATCTTCGATTTCTTGGGATTGTGCATATACAGAACTTAAAATTGTCGTTTTTATCATTTTAAATATTTCGATATACTTATCAGTAATAATTAATTCAATTAATTATCAGATCAAGTATAAAAACTAGTGTATTTTTCTGTATCTCTCTTAATGTATGAATTAATAAGATAATCTTTCTTGTAAAACTGGTTTGACGAAAATTTTATTAAAGCAAAAATTAATTTAAGATTTGATAGAAAAGGGGCGTAAGTGTTTGAAAACAAGAGTATTGTAATAAGTATTCTTTAAATACGCCCTACTTCGAGCATATGAGATTTTCTAGAAATCAATATCTGTTTTATACTTTTTTTTCTATACAGCATTTCTTATGGAATTTATAATTAATTCAATTGATTGTCCTGTGTGAATTCGAATACGATAAATTTTTTGTTTTGTTTGGCATGTATAATATGTTTTTTATTCATTTTTCCTTTATTTTCATTTTGCAATATTTGAAATTTATGAGTATCGGCCGCTTGAAAGGCTCGTAACTATTTTAGGAGGCAGCACTTACGAGTTCTTTACGAGAGAAATATCAAAACTCTTGGCAGTCTTTTAAAATAAACCATGGAAAATCCAAATATGCATTTAAGACACGAGGACAGACGTAAGTATATTTACGCCCCTTTTCAAACGCTCATAAAATTTTCAAATTTACATATATTTATTTACACATTTACATATATGAGAGATAAGGTTTGTGCGTATAAAATATTGGAAAATTTTGATCTATTACAGCCCGAGTTTAATCCGGCAAGAGTTATGCTCTACACGTTAAATTTCTTTCTACTTTGTTTAAACGTGAGTACATTCGACTAACAATAATTTTAATTGCTAAGTACTTTGTCACGGTTGTAATTGCTTTATAATCATCATTATAGCCATTGAAACCTATTAAACTTGTTTAAGAAGATTGATATATGTAAGACACACATTATAAAAATTACATAGTTGTATAAATTATATAAAATTACATATGATTATATGGTTCTCTCACAAACAATATAATAATAGAAAGCAAAAAAACACATACTATTTTTGTAAAATAACAACAAGTATGAAAAATTAAAGAGTTATTAAATTAACTAAATTGTGCTGAAAATTTATATATATTTGTACATTACAAATATTAAATCACTCAGCACAAAATAACTATTGTTACAGATATATTCGCTTTTATGTGTCATCTCGCAGTATCAAGAGTACTTAGCTGGTCGCGGCACTGCTGCCCATGACTACGAATATAGGGTCAGTATTCCGAAAATTTCGCAGAGGAAAGAACAGTGGGATAAGGGACGAAAAGTTAAGTGAATTATTCAGTCGTACTGCTTTATTCACGAACAGCTTATTTAAAAAGATGTAAATATTTAACGCGCGTGTATATAATTTACGAACAATAAATATAAGACGGATTAATTATATATATATATATA